AGGTTGAAGTAGAAGGTGGAGCATCTGCTTTAGCCTTTTTTCTCAGTTGCTCTAGTGAATCTGACACCTGCCACCAGGTTCTTAAATGCAGCAGAGCCTTTTTATCTGAGTCGGTAGCAGCCTCCCACAGTCTCGTGCCTATATTAGTCCATACAGTTTTATCAAATGTGCCTTGAACTGGAAACTAGGGCACGTTTTTTTGGACCCAATCTGGGAGCATGACTAGCTCCAGAGTTGAAATATTTCACTGCTGTTCTTTTAAGATGCGCTGTAGTACATCTAAATTGTTCCGTTGCTCCCTTGGGAGCAAACTACCCATTTTCACTCGTTCCCAATTGCTCACCTTCTGTTCTGCAGAGAGGTGATGGCAGCTGCAAAAACTTCTTAATGTCGATCCTTGGTTCAGTCGGGCCACACTGCTGGAACAGGGTTGGGCGACCTCCTATGCATGCCCCACGTTGGGTGCCATGGGCAGCGTATGAAGGCACGGACTCGAGCTTAAATCCAAGCTGAATCATTTATTAATAGAACAATAAAGCTTATATAGATGTGTGGGGCAGTGCTGGTAATTTTCCACTTCTCTTTTCTCTCTCTTTGGATGGTATTTTCTTATCTTGCAGCTGCAGGGATGCACACAGATATGTCAAATCAGCACTCAGATTGAGTGTCTTATTTGCTGTGCAGCTACTCCTCGTTGGACATAAGTATATTTGCCAGTGAGGAGCTGGGGCACCTAGGTTCTAGTCTCCAGGTCAGAATCACATTAAGTTACGTATTCAACAACTTCATGCATTCTCAGACTATAAAGTGAAGATTAGCATTCCTGCTCGATAAAGTTCTGGAAAGATGAATTTCCTTTAAGTCGTAGTCTCTATTATTGCCTTGCATCTTTGAGGGATGAAAATTACTGGATAGAGTAAAGCAGATCTTTCTCTGCTCACCTTGGGTGTTCACCCCAGGATTTAGTGTGCTTTGACACAAGGTTTTCTTTAAAGAAAGAAACTCTGAAAGTGAAGAGAAAGGAAGAGTCCTTTCCTCAAAGCAGCAGGTTTTTAGTCCTGATGGCCTAGCTGTGTGAGAAGCTCATAGGAATCTGGGCATGGAGGCATCTCTAGCATTTTTTAGATGTTAAGTTAAAAGCAGAAGCTCTTTTGGCCATTAGAGACACCATGATGTGCAGTATGATTTTGTCCTGGTGAAATCCTGGGAAGTTTAACTGCATCCATTAGTGATTTATTTCAGTTGACGTTTAGAAGTTAATTTGGCTATGGCAGATAGCAGTGTTCTTCCTCAGTTTTCTGCCTTGTCTCCCTTCAGGAGATAATCACCTCCATAGCAGGGAAAACTTACAGATTGGAGCTCCACTCCTGAGTGGTTCTTTGTTCTCATATTCATGTACATCATTGCCTTTTTCAGTTTACATGAATAAACCAGGTTGCAAATAATTCAAGAGCAGATATGTGTGTCCTAAATAATCTCTGGTACAGGGACCGTAACTTCCATGAGAGGCTGGGAACCAGCAGCTCTAAGTAGGTAAATAAGCTGTAACTATAAGGCCAGCAGTATCTGAGGTGCTGCAGCTCCTTTCTCCTGCAAATGTGAACTGGAGCCCTCAGCTAGCTGCTGCTGTCATTCCCTGGAGTTGCTGAAATTGCATGTATGTATGTTTATGAGCTGAGATTTTGAGAGGTGACGGAAGGAGGTGGGTGCACAGCTCTTGCTAACTGACAATGCTAAGACATGTCTGACAGTCCTAGCCCATAATATGGGACATGCTTTAGAATAAAAGGTGCAGTATAAATGTCAGGGAGTTCTCACATGACCCTACTGCCTCACTGCAACAGGGCTTCCAGGAACCTGACTGTACATAACGTTAGTGAATGGCAATGACTGCTTAATTCAAACAGCATTACCATAAATTTGCCTACTGCCAAATAGTTTAATGTTGATTAATTAGATGTTAACCACCTGTGGAACTGTAGTCTGATCTTTTCATGGGAGACTTGGCAAATTGTGGAGGCACCTAAGGTGGGTTCTTAGGGCTAGTGAAGATTTTCTCATTAAGTGGAACTAGCACCTTTCTGCTTTGCTTCATTTTGACTGCACATATTTTTTAATTTGCAATTAAGAGTTTAGGGGAATGTAACCTTAACTTTACCCTGAAAATGTTTATCTGTTTCTGCAGTGAGAGTAGTTTATGTAGCAGTGGTCCAACCAAGCTTCTGTAGCCTTGACCCTTTGCTCTTTTGAATCAGTGGGACAACTTCTTTGAGAAAGCAGAATGGGGTCCATCCATCGTGTTTGTCACGCCCAAGGGAAGTAGCTGAACAGTATTGTGAAGGACTCCTAGTCTAGTTCCTCTTTGGAGAAGGGAAGGAATGAATCTTTCTTCGGACAGCTGGAGTATGGGTCAAATAAACAATAGTTGGATTGACACGTAGATGAGTATTACAGTAACACAGTAAAAACCTAAACCAGAGTAGAATAGCATTGCTACTCTCTAAAACATGTACATACGTGGTATAAACAGAATAGTTGCATAACTATAGTTTTGAATCCAAATTGTTTTACAGATGTATTTTAACATGTGTGCCCAAATCTGTTTTCAGCTCAGTGCGGAGGCAGAAAATTATGGGGACAAAAAGAGAGCAGTTGTTAAGAGAAGTCAGGAACCTATTCAGCTGGATACATTGTTTTGTGAAGCTATCTTCTGAGGAGAAGCAAACATGAGAATAAAATAATTGCCAGCTTTGTATGACCATCTCATAAATCAGAGGATGCTCTTGAATTATATATAGTATGCAGGAGATGACAAATTTAGGAAAATATAAAGGGATGAGTGTTCATCTGGTGTAAACTGGTATGAACGTATTATGCATGTAGGGTCAAGCATGTTCAGAAGGGTTGAAGATCTGTCATTACTTCAGAAGGAGGGATTCTACTTAAAAGGGGGAGTCATAGAGAAGAAGGCAAGCCATTCCGACAAATGGACTTTCTTTAATCCATAATCTGTGGTGAAGATGGTATAACTGTTAAGGACTTTTGTAGAAACTGTGTGAAACAACACAGTCATTTTGAAGAGTAATTTGTGATCATGTGTTTAAGTAACATGCTGTTATGCTCTCTATTATGAGCAGATTGAAAGCTGTATGTCATCCTTAATGCTGCCAGTGTTGATGCAAACATCAGAGCATTCTGTCATCTTGCCTGGACTGAATCTTTGTCTCACTAGAATTATCTGAATAATACATTGGCTAGTCTAGGAGATACCGCTGAAGATGCATTGCCCACTGTATTTCATGAAAAACCTATCCTAAATCTGTCTTTCACTTGCTTCGACCATCTGTGGCATCATTTATCTAATGCAGATGGTATTTTTTCTCTAGGTGGAAATATGCGTGCATAATGTTGCAGTGGCAGCAATGCCCCAGTGTTGTGCTAAGTGGAAAATGTAACAATTTTCTGAAATAAATGTGGGGATGGTTCATTTTATTTCCTTTACCACCTCCTCCTTCACACACCCAAAGTGGCAAGTTAACAGCCATGGGAATCGGATTGAATGGAAATACTGCACATTATTACACGGCTGCTTTTCCTGCTAATGCTTTTGGCATCACTGTTGGCAAAATTATGAATTCTTCTGTGACAGTAACTCTGTGAGATGGGAGCTGCTGGTGAGTGTTGTGGTACAGAGATGGCCCAGCCTGACTGTCTAGGGGCAAAAATTTTAACTTGAAAGGAATGACAACAAAGCGTGGCTTCTAGAATGTTACTAGTTACTGCTGTACTCAAACCCAGGATTCACTAGAAGAAGCGGTACTGCCTTCTGCTTTACCTATTGCTGCTGCTCATCCGCCCAACACATGTTCTTTGAACACACACAACTGCTTCTGGATCAGGTCAGGGAACTGATCCCACCGAGAGCTAGCTGAGCAGTTCCTCAGTGAGTCTTGTAATACAGCTACAGAAACATTTGTGTCAGTACAGGAGGAATGGGGAAGCACAAACTGCTCTGGGACAGTGAGGCAGCTCTCTTGTTGTCAGGACCAGCCACTTTAGCAGGAATACACTTTCTTCAGTTTTCTGTTTCCCTCAGTTCCGCAGGAAGAATAGGATACTCTGAAGCAGCATAGGGGAAATGATTATTTCTTTTCTGCTGATGTGAGTTAGCACCTGGACTTGTGGAGTACAGAGGGAAGCTCTACCCTTTTAGTTTTGAAAGGGAGGAGGATGGGCTGGGAGTTTCCATACACCAGTTGTTTTCAGAGCTTAAGGGAACCTAAAATTAAACATTAAGGTTTGAATGACCCCTGCTGGAAGCTTCAGACAACCAGGATTTTTAGGCATTAGGTCCCGTGAGGCTTCAGTTGGCCAACCATAGGCACCCATATTTGAAAACTGTGGCTGCTAATGGAAATGTGTTTGTATTCAGGTGGAACTGGGATGGATCCATCAGCAACCTACACTCCTTATGTCGCATCCTGTCTATTACAGTACCTGAGCCTAAAGTGTGTGCGTGTACTTACACATTCCTCTTCTCTGCACTCTTTCCCCTTACCTGCCTATCCAGAGTGGAAAAGCTTTATTACAGTTGCTCTACCCTTATTTTAACTCCTTAGTGAAGCAGTCCAGTCTAGCCTGTCTGTTGCACTGCTCTGCCTACAGTGCCCTCCTGTCTGCTCTCCACATGCTTTGTGAGTACCTCCATGCTGTTCTGGCACTGTTCAGTTATGGTAAATATCAGCTAAGGCAAGGGGCTGTATCATATGTTTTTCATGTTAAGATGATATTCTACCAGATTTCCCCAATGTGTATGCAAATCCCCACCACTATTTTCTGATGCAGGAACTGGATTTTAGTGCAGAGTCTTCAGATTTCCCTTGCTTGCCTGATGCACACTGATCTGCTTAAGGAGCTTTGGACACTCGAATACCTTACAATCTTGGCTATGCAAGGTAATGATAACCATCTGTTTTTCTTGCCTTTTTTTTTTTTGGCAGGCTGATTTGAACACCAATATTGAAGATGAATCCAGATCTTTCTATGGCGTTTCCAGCCAATATGAGAGCCCAGAAAACATGGTCATTACCTGTTCCACCAAAGTGTGTTCCTTTGGAAAGCAGGTGGTAGAGAAAGTGGAGGTAGGGAACACACGCCTGGGTGCAAGGTTCTCTCTAGCTGCTGTTTCATCATGTCAAGTACTTGTATCTTGTGTATATCTCAAGGCAAAAATATGTGTCATGTTTGTTGTCAGGGAAGTGAATGCGACAGATTATTATTTCTGAGACATGCAGGTGTCAGATCGCTTCAGCCCGCAACATGGCCTTGTCTCAGTACTTCATTGAAGGTTTGGTAGTGTTTACTATTTTTTCCTTAAATCTCAGTTTCTGAAGACATGTGAATATGTAAGACCCTCAACTCTGGTGATTCTCTGGGATTTTTGGGGAGCAAAGAAAAGCTAGGAAATCTGGACCCTTGTTTTGTAGTCCAGAAAGGTGAAAACAAATAGGCAACACCTCACTTTCATCAGTGGTTTTAAACAGATCACTTATAGACTATGGCCATTTATTAATAGACTGTAATAATCCACAGACTACAGTCTTATGGTTTTATGAGGCTTACCTTAGTGCTTGTGCACTTACAGCTCAAGCAACAATGGAGCTGCATAATTGTGCATATATCTGACACTGAATGACATTTCTGATGCTACATTCAGCTGCTAAGAGAGCTGCTCTGACCTGCTTCCTGCTGCTCCTTCCCAAGCAGCCTTTACATGCAGGAGGAGCGGTTATGTGCAGAACACCAGGCATTCTCGTGTTAGCAGTCAGCTAAAGCTACATCCTTCTCCCAGACCCATTTCCAGTCATATGATAGACATGCCTTAAGTCTGGTTATGTGTTATCATGATGGGATAGACAGGCCAAAGAAAGGTGTCATGGTGCACAGGAAAGGAGACCAAGCTCTCGGGGTAAAATAAGGTAAAGGGTATTTAAGGGTGTGCTGTGAAATGATAGATCCAGCCTCAGCTTCTGTTCAAAGGAAGATGAAATATGCAGGAGCTAAGATGTGAATGTGAACAAAAAAATCCCTCTGTAACATTGGCCAGACCCTCTCTTAAGGAGGAGCAGAGATACTATGTTTTGTCTCACGGGTACCAGAAGTCTTTTAAGTCCTTTACAGCTCTGAAGCATCCCAATTAACATCATTACTAGGAGATGCCTGGTTTTGCTAAAGCAGTAGTTTTTAACTTTTTCAGTTTATTCACACCTAATATTTTTTCAGTAGAGATGCAGACCATGGTAGAGCTGACAATTGGTCTGCTCCTTTTAGTTACCTTTCACAGCTCCTTGGCAGCTTGCTGCTCATAAGCTGGAACCATTGTCCTAAAGAAAAAAAGAAATCAAGGCGAAGAAATTGGAGGTCTCAAGGAGACTGACCTTGATGTGAAGTACTGTAGAGGAATGATTAATCAGCTCATTACTGTTAGTAAAATGTCTTGAAAATGCCACTGTAATTTTTCAGTTTTGAATCCCTTTATGTGGTTAATGCTACTAGTGTGACAACATTAGCCCCATGTGCCCCTTTTCTGTTTTGCATTGCAGACAGAGTATGCACATTATGAAAATGGACACTATTCCTATCGCATTCACCGTTCCCCTCTCTGCGAATACATGATAAACTTCATTCATAAACTGAAACACCTTCCTGAGAAGTATATGATGAACAGTGTGCTGGAAAACTTCACTATCTTACAGGTGGGACTTTCAACTGTTTTTGTTGGATCTTGGAAGCATGTAAGCCCCATGCAGGAGTTCACTGTTGTGAGTCAAAGCAGATTTCCATTTACAGCAGATCACCTAATTGAACTTAGCATCTCTCATGTATATTGCACCTCAAGACCATTTATGGAGCTCTAGAGCTAGTAACGTATGTAGAGAAGCAGCAGAAGAGTTTGAGAGACCTGAGTAAGAGATAGAAAAAAAAAGAAAGTTAAAGGGAGAACTCATGAGGCAGAGAGATAAAGGAAGGTGAAGGATATAAAAATCAGTGAAGGATATGCTCATTCCACTGTTGAACAAACATTGAGGTCCTTTCTCTGCCCTGGTCCTTTTTGCAAGGTAAAAAAAGAAACAAGAGCACTGTTAAGTGGATATATGGGAAGAGTACTTCACTGATCAGGTAGGGGGGGAAAAAACAAAAGTTGTTTCCTCAGGACTGTCCTGAATGTGGAAAAATATGGAGGCACATAAAGGAAGGGGCTTGTTGGGAGAAGCTCTGTGACACCTTCACGAATCACTGCAACCCCTAGGTAGGGCGGTACTACAAGGCTACAGCAACTAGATTTGCATTAGTGTCTGTGTTAAATCAGGAGCCTTTCCAGGCTTGGATGCAGTCTAAGTTTGGGAAGAGGGCAAAGACAGCTTATAAGGTGGATTTTCCTAATGGACTGAGTTCTGTGCTTGCCTCTACAAGATGTGTCACAGACCTTTGCCCAGAGAACCTGAGGATGGATAAGTAGAAAAGATGCTAGCCACTGTATGAAAGAATGGAAATCAAGTGGTCTTCATTCCATTCTCTGGAGACCTTGTGGGACCTCAGGCAACTCATTTCACTGTTCTGTGGCTCAGACACCAGAGCTATAAAACACAAGGTTAATAATATACCTCACAGGGCTTTAGGAGGCTTTACTCTTTCATGTTTGTACTAAGATCTTTAGCATCTGGAAGAAAACAGGAGTGTAAATGCTAAGAGTCTTTTTAGATGAGCAGAAGCATGAAGTGGGCAGGGACAGAGAGATGGAAGGTCTGTAATCCATACTGAGGAACACTGTAACTGCTTTCTGCATGTTTCATTCCTCAGTCAGGCCAGTGCTTGCTGTAATTTTTATGAACAAAGTTTTCATATACTTCCTCTGGGACTTTACGTTTTGAGTAATTTCGTGTACTTCCCTTACCTCCTGTCACAGAGAGGCATGTCTCATGTGAGTGCTGGCACAGTCTTTTATGTATTGCCTTACGGTCCTGCTCCCTGAGCAGCAGGCTGAGCATTTTCCACTTCCCCCTGGAGAGCTGAAAAATGGTTGTGCTTAATTCAAGGTGTGCTGCTAGTCCTCAGCCCCCAGTACCAACTTCTGAAGCAAGTCTAATTGTATTTTTCCTAGACCTTTTCATAAGCTTAGATACGTTAATCTCACAAGCATGATTTATCTTGCTTTGCACATTGCTCTGGATCTAGCTCTCCAAGCTTTCAGAGTCCATTTTTCAGGAAAGGCTCTGGTGCCTTACCACATCTGGGTGTGTATAACTCATAACAGCCTGCAGAAGAAAGGAGAAGGATTAGTTCAGCTGCAAATCTGATCATAAAGAAAAAAAAAGAAAACAGAATAGACCAAAATCAAGCTGCTGAAATTAATAAGCAAGTTTGAAAACAGCTATTTTCTTTCCATTTTCACAAGAATGGTTGAGCTTTTGTACAGCAAGCCTCCAGCTGGTATGTTTTTCTTCTGCAGTTGAGTCGGTGCTACTGCTGATAAAAAGGTATCTCCTCCAGCGGGAGAGAACTGCTTGAAGCTTTAGCTATGGCACAGAATCAAATGACAAGAATGTGCAAAGTTGTGCAGTGAGAGGAAATCTGCGCAGGGAGCTCTGGGTACAACCCTTTGCTTGTCCCTGCCATATAGTGTAGGCAGTGCACGCTTCTGAAACTAGGACAGCACTGTTCCATTGCCATGCTGGTGACACTGAGTCACACTGCAGACAAACTAAGGTTCCTGAGGGACCACTGAAAAAGCAGTGGAAAAAAAGGAGCTTCTGTAAGAACACATGAGTTGTAGCAGCCATCTTCCTCCTGACTTCTACAGTGCTTGGAATGGGAGGTGTAATGGAGTCAAACCTGTAAGCCTCCTCTAAAATGAGTTGTGCTCTAGAATCCTCATGTTCTGTGTCTACCACTGACAAGCAAAAGCAGATGGAGGGAAAGAGCTCTTCATGGCCGTGATATATCAACACACACGTGAGCAGAAGTGGATGTGCCACAGGAGGTGGCTTCTCTGTACCCAACAAACAGCAGGAAGGTTTTCTGTGAAACACCTCTCTTCTGAAATCTGCAACACCAGGGGGTGGGGAGTAGCAGACATAGTGGACCTGCTTCCACTTATGTGGCCACTGTTTGGTCACAGCTTTCTTTTCTCTACAGTGGACTCTGTTCACCTCCCTGTCTTTTCACTGCATTGTAGTGATGCTGTGAAAGTGCTTCACTTGGATGTGTAGGCACACAGACTCTGGGGGTTGTGGTGGCTGAGCTGTGTATCATTCCTGTGCTTCTCTGTTCTTTGCCTATTATTAACTTTTTGCTCTATGTTAAATATGTTGGAATACATAAGCAGAGAAACAACAGTTGCCATCTCATCATATTCTCTTTTTCTGTCTAGGTTGTGACAAACAGGGACACACAAGAGACCTTGCTGTGCATAGCATATGTTTTTGAGGTGTCAACTAGTGACCATGGTGCCCAGCATCACATCTACCGGCTGGTGAAGGACTAGAGACTCTCTGCCCTGAGTTGTCCATGGGATGCATGTCTAAGAAAAAAGCCTGTCCTTGAACAACCCTTTCCCCCTCATACCAAACTGAAGAATAAACTACAGATATTGTGTATTTTCAGAAAAGCACCTCTGAGCTGTTTTGTGATTGACAGGGTCAAATAAGTTTGTATCTCCGGGTTTGTGCAAATGGACTTGGACCCAAAGAAATGGGCAAATAGCTGCCTAAGGGCTTCACCACAAATAGCATCCTCTGGGATATATTTCCCACAGAGTACACACAGGGTGTGATCATACGTATAAAAGGATTGGTATGCACCTGAGCATACAGGCAGGGCGATGGCAGCAGCTTTCACAAGTTTAACCACAAAGGAACAGGTTGAAAATGTTCATGCTACATCTGGTCTGAGTGTGTGCGCTTCTATACATTCATTTGTAGGTCAACACACACACAGACATTCTTACCATACATTTATATAGATGTCAGTCGGCTGTGCGGGGGCGCATGCATGTGTATAGGGATTGCACATACAACCTACACATCTGCCTGTCTAGCTGTCCATCTTAGCAGGTGTGCAGTCACAGGCTCCTTTAGCCTTCCTCCTATGAAGCTGAATAGCATTTTCCTCTGTTTTGTGCTTAACAGTGAGAGACCAACCATTCTTTTGCTTTTTAAATGAAGCTATGCTTAGAAAATTGGTGTGTTAAATCACGTCTTGCTCAGCAGATTTCCTCCATGTATCAGATCTGACTGACTAAAATAATTTTTGCTGCTTTCTCTTCCATTCTCCCCGTACCATTAGCACTGCTCAGGGAGGTAGACTGTCCTCTTTCCTTGTACACCAGCAAAATAATTTTTTACCAAGATCAAATTGTTCCACCCGTTAGTTGCAAGCAGTGAAGTGACACAGATATTGCAAAGAATGCCATTTGGCCAGCAAATCGCAGGAAAAGGATGAGAGAGAATAGTGAAAAGAGGTTAACTTTCCATCAACCAAACACAGTCTATCTACTTTACTTGTAAACTGAGTTTGTTTATTCAGAAGTCACTGAGAGGCACTAATCTTGGTCCCCACAATGCTACTGATGTGGGGGAAGATCCAGCCATTCGTGTTACTCCGAGGGAAGAGGTGGGTTGCATGGTGCTCTCTGGCAGCTACTGAACAGGCAATTTATTGCATGACTAGGCACAGTCCCATGGCACAAATTTGGGTATATGGTGTTACATCTCTTTCCGCAATGCTTCACAACACTTCTCACTTATTTCAGACATTTCCATCCTTGCATTTTTGGCTTAGAGAAAAGTACTCACGGGCACCTGAGGAATCTGAGATGCCTTCAGAATTCAAGGGGTTAGAATGCCAGAAGGTAAGAGCTTCAGCCACACACAGATAAAATCTGACTTGTTTCAAGAACTCATGAGGTTGTTGGTACTCCTTTCTACAGCTTTCAGCTTGCTGGTTAAAGGGCTCTGCGGATTCCATGAGGATACTGTACAACTATTGCCACTGCATATGCAGAGGCCTGCAGACTTACATATCTCCTCCAGCTTCCTAACCATCTTCCTGTCCTTTAAAATGTTTCTATTTGAAGTTGTAAGTTGTATTCATTTACAAGGTACTTCAGGAGTCTTCTCACAGATTGATGATTTTGTTTCCTCCACATTTAAATCCCATCTCCCTTCGAAGTTTCAATCTTCCACTCTTAGAGAATGTTCTTCCCGTGTTTTATGGGCTCAGATTAATCCTTAGAGAACTTGAAGGTCTAAGTCTCCACCGGGCTTTTTCACAAGTATTGTTGAGTATTCCTCATCTTCTCACTGAAATTCATGAAGAATGCTCAGTCACCTTCCAGTGTACCATCAGCATCACTTCTACTTGGTATATTAGATTGGGGGGAATGGAAAGGAGGGAAGATTCCCTTACTGGAACACATTGTTTTTAAAAACATAATCTGCTATTGTACTCAATTATCTCCTTCAAACTCTACATTACCCTCAGAGAAAGCACTGGCATCTTTCACATCAACGTTCAGCTCTTTAATTTCCCAGGGGTTCTCAGGCTCCTTAGCTTTTCCCCACAAGATGTTCTGGCAATCTGCTGCTTTAGATGATTGTTTCAACTGTCTGATTTTTCACTATCTCTTCTCGACTGCATTCATGAGCTTCCATGTGTGTTTCACTAGCTGTGCTTTCCCTTACCCCACTTTAAACAAGCCCTGGTAAACACTGAACTTAGCCAGATAATAGTAGCTTCAACCACTCAGTGCAATACTTCTTGAGGAGGAAACTTCTCGTGCCTTGGAATCATCATGGTTTTATTTGGAAGCTGGTATTGAGAGAAATTGTTCTTTCCTAGATTGCTAAGTGTAAAGAAATGTGTGGTGTTTTCCTCAATTACTTAAATCTTTAGTGTTCCTCTGACTCATTGCTGGCTGATAGTATGGAGTTTCTTCCTGTGAACTGTTTTCTAAAGCCTGCATAAAACTTATTCAAGCCTATAATGCTGTCTCTAGGTTTGTAATACTTAGTTTATGACCTTAGGATTCAATACAATCTTTCCTGACTGTGTTGCAGCTTCATGTGCTATGTCCTCACAAGGAATTAACATTCAAGAAACACTAAAGAATGAACTATTAAAATGTAACTTACAAATCAAGTGAGATAGACAAGTTTATTATGGTAAAATTTTGATATGGGGCTCGCCAAAAACTTTTGTCTGAAGGATGAGTTCACATTGGTGTGGCTGTCAGAAGTTAGATGAAAAGCAAATAACTAAAAAGACCATTAACAAAGATGACAGATGACTGTGTTAACTGTGGGGAAGGTGTGTATTGAAGAGGATGAGTATAGACTCACTCTCTTTTAACATCATCAGTAGTCTAGAGGAGGGAGAAAGCAGCAGGGTAAATTAATCTGCAGATAGCACTAAAGGACATTTTTGTAAGCTGAGTATGTATAGAGAACTTGAGTGACTTGAACACTATTGAAGCCCTAGGCTTGAACTGGTAGAATAAATACTAAGAATGATTTGAAATATAATTTTAAATGTCCTTAAAGGAACAAGAGAAAGATGGCAAATGAAAGGTAAAGATAATCAGTGCCTGAGAGGTACATAGTCAGAACATGATCCAAAATGGGATAGCATGTTGGAATTAACTGTCAAAGGACAGATGCACAAATACAAAACCTCAGTGACAGAGATGAATGTGACAGATGAAAGTCTCATTGTGCTACTCAGTCAAAGGAAATGGAGACATACACTGGAGGATGAAGATTTCATTATCCGTGAAAGAGATGATCCCAGGCCATAAAAAGGGTGTTTTCTTTGGCCTAGCATGGGAGAAATCCTGAGGATTTCCATTTCAACAGAGATTTCAAACAGAAGACCAGAATATAGGCAACTTGCAAAGCCCTAAATGTGCTTCGTATACAGGTACAATTTTAGAATACGATAGAACAGGCCCAGTTGGAAGAGATGTACAATGATCATCTAGATGTACAATGATCATCTAGTCCAACTGTCTGAGCAATTCAGGGCTGACTAAAAGTTAAAGGATATTACTAAGGGCATTGTCCAAATGCCCCTTAAACACTGACTGGCTTGGGGCATCAATCACCTCTCTAGGAAGCCTGTTCCAGTGTCTGACCACCTGCTCAGTAAAAACAGGCTTCCTAACACCAAGTCTGAACCTCCCCTGATGCAGCTTTGAACCATTCCCATGCATCTTCTCATGGGGTAACAGGGACAAGAGCTCAGCACCCCCCTCTCCACCTCCCTTCCTCAGGAAGCTGCAGAGAGCAATGAGGTTGCCCCTCAGCCTCGTTGCCTCCAAAGCAGACAAACCTAAAGTCCTTGGCAGCTCCTCACAGGACACGCTTTCCAGCCCTTCCACCAGCTCCGTTGCCCTCCTCTGGATGCATTCGAGGCCCTTCACATCCTTCCGAAATTGCAGGGCCCAGAACTGCACCCAGCACTCAAGGTGGGGCTGCACCAGTGTTGAATACAGCGGGATTGTCACCTCTTTTGCTGGGCTGGCCATGCTGTGTTTGCTGCACCCCGGGATGGGGTTTGCCCTCTTGGCTGCCAGGGCCCACTCCTGACCCCCACTGAGCCTGCTGCTGCCCAGCACCCCCAGAGCCCTCTCTGCAGGGCTGCTCTCCAGCCACTCCTCTCCCAGTTTATACTTGTGCCCAGCATTACACCGTCCCAGGTGCAGAATCTGGCATCTGTTCTTGTTAAATTTCATCCCATTAATCATTGCCAAATCCCTCAGTCTATCCAGATCCCTCTGCAAGGCCTCTTGTCCCTCCAGAGAGCCAACAGCACCTCCCAGTTTAGTATCATCAGCGAACTTGCTAATGGTGCAATTCAACTCCTGCATCGAGATCATTGATAAAAATGTTGAATGGAACTGGTCCTTGAATAGAGCCCTGAGGAACAGCGCTGGTGACAGGTTGCCTGTTAAATATAGTGACCTCTGCCCTGAGGCAGTTCTTCACCCAGCACACCCTGTACCTTTTCATCTCACAGTTGGACAGCTTGTTCAGAAGGATGCTATGAGGGACAGTATTGAAAGCCTTACTAAAATCCAGAAAAAACTACATCCACCGCCTTCCCTTCACCCACGAGGTGGGTGACTTTATCATAGAAGGATATCAAATTAGTTAGGCAGGACTTGCCCTTTGTGAACCCATGTTGACTGTGCCTGATAATTGCATTGTTCTTTAAATGCCTTTCTATAGTAGCCTGTATGATCTTCTCCATATTTTTGCCAGGTTCTGAGGTTAGGTTAACAGGTCTGTAGTTTCTGGAGTCTTCTCACATGCCCTTCTTGTAGATTGGAATAATGCTGGCTAGCTTCCAGTCAGTGGGGACCTCCAATTTTTTGTGCTCAGGTAAGCACAAGCTGCACCAAGACTAGCCTTACGACACATAGTCTTGCATTATCGCTGGATTCCCAGTGGTACTGGACAATCAAGTTGATGTAGAAGGGGGACTAATCGACTTTCTTCCTCATGAAGCTATCTCATAGCAGCTGATCTGTTGTAACTGTCCAAATGCAGGTTGCTATTTGCAGGTAGGAGGTCCCTCATAGGGCTGAGGCTTCACCAGACATTACTGTCG